TCCTAATCCAAGTAGGTAGGGATTATGGGAGTCAGGGAGTAGGGGAATAAATTAATATACAGATCATTAAATATCCTCATCTGCTTATACACAGAAAAAAAATTCTGTCATGAAATAGGACTACTCTCTGTAGTTCTCAGATACAGGCAAGTTTGTGCTCTGCCTTTTCTGTTCTCAGTTAGTGATTGGGGTTTTTGCAAAGCTTTTGAATTTCTGACCACTCTCTAATATACTTTGAGGCCAACAGAAAGACCCAGCTAGCAGAGACACAGCAGTCGCACAGCAAGGGCACAGAGCACCTCTGCTGATGACTGCATGGGGATGCTCGAAGTGATGGTCTCAGTACAACACAGGGTATGTTCTATGTCATTGACTGGTGAAAACATCTGTGGCACAGAAGAGATCTCTGGTGGGGAGGACACCTCTCTCAAGGTCTGGGGCTGGAGAGAGGGTTGTTGCCTCTCCTGGGGCCAGGGCAGCAGGGGCCTCCCCTGTGCCTTGGTCACAGCCCTGAGTCACCAGGTGAAGGAACTGCAGGAGGAGGTGAACAACAGCATGGGTTCCTGATGACAGGAAAAAAGCAAATATGACACTCACCTTTAAGAAGGGCAAGAAGTAGGATCCAGGTAACTGCAGTCAGCCAAATTTCAGTCTCTGGGAAGGTTACAGAGTGAATCCTCTTAGAAGCTGTTTCTATGCACATAAAGGACAAGAAGATGATTAGGAACCACTGACATGGGTTTAGCAAGAGCAAATCATGTCTGACTAACCTGATTGCCTTATATGATGAGATAACTGGCTTTGTGGACAAAAGAAGGGCAGTGGACTTTGTATGCCTTAATTTTAGTAAGGTCTTTCATATAGTCTTCTGTAGGCTCCTTATCACCAAATTGGTGAGATACTGACTGGATAACTGGATGATAAAGGTGGTTGGAACACTGGCTTGATTGCTGGGTTTAAAGTGTTGTGATCAGTGGTGTAAAGTCCAGCTGGCAGCCAGTAACTAGTAGCATCCCTCAGGGATCCATGTTGGGGCCAATACTGTTCAATGTCTTTATTAACTAACTGTGGTGGAGGGCACTTTCAGCAAGTTTGCTGCTGACACCAAACTTGGGGTTGCGGGACAGTCAATATGCAGGACATATTGTTCATATTGTTCAGCTATTCAGAAAGACCAGAATGGGCTGAGTAATAGCTAACAGGAACTTCATGGAGTTCAACAAGCCGTCTGGAAAGCAGCTTGGCAGAATAGGATCTGGGGGTCCTGGTGGACACCAAGTTGAACATGAGCCAGCAATGTGCTCTTGCAGAAAAGATGGCTAATGGTGTCCTGGGCTGCACTAGACAAAGTATTGCCAGCAGATGGAGGGAGGTGACCCTTCCCCTCTACTTAGCACTAGTGAGGTCACACCTGGAGTACTGTGTCCAGTTCTGGGCTCCTCAGTACAAGAGAGACAGGGACATACTAGAGACAGTCCAGTAAAGGGCCACAAGGATGATGAAGGGATTGGAACATCTCTCCTATGAAGAAAGGCTGAGAGAGCTGGGACTGTTCAACCTGGAGAAGTGAAGTCTCAGGGGGCACTTCATCTATATACAAATACCTGAAGGACGGTGCAAAGAGGATGGAGCCAGGCTCTTTTCAGTGGTGCACAGTGACAGGACAAGAGGCAATGGGCACAAACTGAAACACAGGAGGTTCCCTCTGAACATCAGAAAACACTTTTTCACTGTGAAGGTAGTCAAACACTGGAACAGGTTGCCCAGGAAGGTTGTGGAGTCTCCATTCTTGGATATATTCAAAAGCCACCTGGACAGAATCCTGGGCAAACAGCTCTACGTGGCAAAGCTTGAGCAGGGAGGTTGGACCAGGTCCTTTCCAACCTCAGCCATTTTGTGATTCTGATTCTGTGAAAAGCAAATGTGAAGTCTTGCACCTGTAATGGAATAACCCTGTGCACAGTACAGGCTGAGGACTGACAATTTG